ACCAGAGGCTCAGCCTCAAAACTCACGTCTACATGTCACCACAGTAGGACAAACCGACAGACAAGTTTGTCCTGCTGTTGTAGACCTCTCGTATCCCCCCCACCTGGGTCCCTGTGGCTGACTGTTCCTCTGTCTGGCTTCCTGTCTTTTAATCCCCTTTCTCCTGCTCTTCTGGCCATAGAAATATTAGAAAATGCATATATTCAAAGTTTTCCCACAGACCACAAGATGGATGTGAATTATCAGTCTTTCGGGATTGATCAATCTTGGGGCAAAGGATGAGAGGAGATTGGTGATGTATACATTTATACATTTAAGGAAGAGACCTTAAAGATCATTTAGTCCCACCCCTCCTCTTACCAGTAAGGTAACAGGGACACAAGTGGCAGTAGGTAAGTGTAGCTTGTTGGTTGGATAGGTCAGTGGAGAGGGTCAGGGTCCATTAGGTGTGTGAAAAAGAAAGAAAGTCTTGCTATGCAACATAACTGTCCTCTTATGATGGTTGGATATCATGAAGTTTGCACATTCAGGGAGGCTACTGTCCTTATCTAAGTAGCTCTGCAATGCCTAAGGCATTTGACTTCTAAGTGGAAGGTTGGTGGTTCAAACCCATCCACCACTCCATGGGAGGAAGATGAGGCAATCTACTTCCATAAAGATTTATAGCCTTGGAAATCCAGTGGGGGTTGCTATGAGTCCAAATTGACTGGATGAGAGTGGGTTTTTTTCTGTTTTTCTTTCCTTTTTTAATTGTCCCTGTCTAATGGTAGCTCTGGTGGCATAGTGCCTAAGGCATTTGACTGCTAACCAGAAGCCTGGTGGTTCAAACCCACCATCCACTCCTCAGAAGGAAGGTTGGAAGGAAGGTTGGGCAATTTACTTCAGTAGTGATACCGTCTCGGAAACCAAGGGAGGGGTTGCTATGAGTCAAAATCGACTCAACGGCAGTGAGTTCTTTTTTTCTTTTCTTTTTTTTTAATCTAATGGTAATAGTGAGAGAAGCCTTGGCAGCTCAGTGACTAAATGCTCAGCTTTTAACCAAAAGGTCAACAGTTCAAATGCACCAGCCACTCTTGGACGAAAGATGTGGCAGTCTGCTTTCGTAAAGATTACAGCCTTGGAAACCCTATGGAACCATTCTACTCTATCTTATAGTGGTGCTATGAGTTGGAATTAACTCAGTGCAATGAGGTTTTTTTTCTTTTTTTTTTTTTCTTTTAGTTTTATGCTAGTAGCTACTACTTCCTTTAGGTTTATCTTTGCCTGGGCTGCTGTCTTAGCAGGCTGGGTATGCAGTGGCTCTTCTGGTTCCTGCCCAAAGAAGCCCATGTCTTGTGTCTCTTCTTTTCTCTACACTACATCTTCTGAACACTTTCAGCTATTGCTCCAAAACATTCTTTAAAATGCATGGCCCCTCTAGACCAGAATTCTGTTTATGACAGTGGTATTGCTTATGAAAATACATAAGCAGTAGTTCAGTGAGTAGTTGCTCACTGAACCTGTTCATCATGAATCTACATAACTACTTTAAAAAGCTATTATACGTGGGTTATACTATCTCTGATGGCAAAGAATATGGGATTCTGCCATCTCTGAGAGGAAACATCACTAATCTCTCTCTTCTCCAGGAATGTGTAAATTAGGACAGAAGTAAATTCAGGCAAAAGAGAATTAAGGGAAAAAATACGACTATTTTGCATTGCTAACCTCACAGTTCTCTCCATTTATAGGAGTTATGTACACTAAGATACCTCAACAGAAAATCTGAGCTTAGCAGTAGGACAGGTGGTGTAAGGAAATATCTGAGGGGCATATTTATCAGAGGTAACTTACAAATCTTAGGAACCCAATAGAACTGTCAATAATATGTCAAACCAGCTTTCTACATGGTGAAACACCAATCACAATTTTGTTCATTTAAGTCAGTGTAAAATCCACACATTTTTTATGAGGAATGAAAAGAAAGACAAACCAAAACAAAAACAACAAACCATGGGTCCTGGGAAGGCTGGGCAGATATTCCTCATCTGAAAAACACACTCCTTACCTCATGCTGATGGTAGTAAGTGGGGCACATGTTTGGGTGGGAGGTAATGTTTCAATTGTGCTACATGCATGACAGAAAAGTCATTGATGGCATTGGGATGGGCTCTCTTCAAATGGAACTGTGAGCCATGCCATTAGCACTGTTGTCATGCTGGTTCTTGACATCCTCAGGAGTTTTTTATTTCTCCAGATTGCAATCCCACAAAGGAGCATCGCTGTGGAGATGGGCGCTGCATTGCCATTGAGTGGGTGTGTGATGGTGACCATGACTGTGTGGATAAATCCGACGAGGCCAATTGCTGTGAGTGCCGAGTTCTTCCATTTTGCTTATCTTTTCATGTCTGCCTGTTTAGGCAAACGTACTCAAAGTTCATGCTCTAAACACGTTTTAGATACTATTGTTATTGTTGTTAGATGCTTTCGAGTTGATTCATAGTCATAGTGACCCCGTGTGACAGAATGGAACTGCCTTGTAGAGTTTTCTTGGCTGTCATCTTTATGAGAGCAGATCACTGGTCTTTCTCCTGCAGAGCCACTGGGTGGATTTGAACTGCCAACCTTTAAGTTAACACCAAGTGCTTAACCATTACACCACCAGGTTCCTTCTAGATGCTGTTAGAGAGACTCATAAAAAATAGCAACACAACATTCAAAGGCAAAGATTGTATACTTTGGCTCTAGACTAGAAAGATAGCAGTTGAGTGAGGTGATGACAGTAATAATAGAGACTGTTCTCTATCTCATTATTCCATGTACCTCCCTTCTGCACTTGTGACTTTTTCCAAGGGGGTGCTCTTCACAGAGACTGGGGAACATTTCTTCTGCAAAGGGTATGGGAGAAGCTAGGTTCCTCTGTAGGAACCTCCAAATGTTTTCAGGGACCATTTGTGGGAGAACATAGAGAGAAAATGGCCAGAGAGAAAAAAAAATAATGCTCATACAGTTATACAGAGAGTGTGTGTCAATAACTGTAATATTCGAACCCGTTGTATTTTGGGAAGAGCGAAAGGCTTCAGGTAGTTGTTACATTGTTATTGTCAGTTGCCATCGAGTCTTCTGACTCATGTGACCCCATGAGTTCAGAGAGGAACTGTTCCATAGGGTTTTCAAGGCTGTGAACTTTCAGAAATTGTCAGGCCTGTCTTCTGAGGCACCTCTGAGTGGGTTCAAACCATCAACCTTTTGGTGAGTAGTCAAGTGATTAGCTATTAAAAACAATTATGACTATTAACTCTTTTGTTCCTCTAGAAAATACACGATACTTAGTAGGGAAGAATAAAAATGATTGAATAGAAACAGTTAATTGTTAAAAGAGAGTACTGCTGACCTGAAAGAGTTAATATAATGAATTTCTTCATGGTTAAGCTAATTAAGCTTTTTATTTCATATTTTGCTGTCTAATAAAAGTAGAACAGGTTGATATATATGAGATTGAATATTTAATTTGAGGCAAAAATAGAAATGCAATTGCATGGGTTTTATTTTGACATAAGAAAAGACATATAAATTAATTAACAAATACAATGTGCAGTGTTACCCTTCCCTGAATTGAATTTGAACTAGAATGTCATATCAGCTCTTGCTTAGTGGACATAGCATAACAGAAAGGATTATATCTTGATGGATCCAGGGAAACAAGGCATGATGCTCACGTGTACCACTTCTTGGGTTGAACCTTGATTCAAGAATGTTGTTGTTGTTGTTATGTGTTGTTGACTCAGACCCGACTCATAGGGACCCTCTCCTTGAGTTTCTGAGGCAGTATCACTACGGAAGTAGATTGTCCAACCTTCCTTCCGAGGAGTGGCTGGTGGGTTTGAGAATAGGGGATTCAATATTAGACAGTAGCTTGATGATGACTGAGGTCACATAGTACACCAAATGATAGTAGGGATAGAGTTTAGGGAATTTAGGGAGAATACAGAAATCCTTATGTTTAATGGCCACCAGAGCATCTCTTTCAAATGTCACATATCATAAGCAAGTTTTGAAATAAAATGTTTATTGCATGTTAGGTACTTTGTGAGTCCTTTCATATATAAGTAGTCCTCAACTTATGATGTATTCAAGTTATGACAAATGGCACTTACGACCTGCCCTTTTTTCTTTTGTATGTCTTATCATTAGTAATATGTATGTATGTACTAATATATATATGTAAGTTTATATGTAATATTTACAACCTCCAAGGACAAATAAAATTGTAAATATTACATAAAGTTTATATGTAATATTTACAATCTCCAAGGACAAATAAAGGAGCTCTGGTGGCATAGTGCCTAAGGCATGTGACTGCAAACAAGAAGGCTGGTGGTTCAAACTCACCAGCCACTCCTTGGAAGGAAGGTTGAGCATCTACTTCCATAGAGATACCACCTCAGAAACCCAAGGAGAGGTCACTATGAGTCGGGTTGGACTCGATGGCACATAACAACAACAACAACAAGGACAAATAAAGATTGGGTTTATAAAGATACTGATAATAAAAGGCAATAATAATGGAAACTAGAGAAAAAAATAGGTATTTGACCATGTCCGAACCAACTTATGGAACAGTTGTTGAAATAGAACCCTGTTGTAAGCGGAGGACTACCTGTATATTATTTCTTTGGCTCATTATATCAGGTGGGTATAGTATGAGATTCTTGGACTTGGAGTCAGAGAAATTGGTCTCTACATTCTGGTCCTACCACCTAAAGTTGTTCAGACTTGGAGATGAATGCTAAACTCTCTAAGCTTCAGTTTTCTTGTGTAGTTTGTTATAAGGATCTGACATCATATACACAATGCACCTGGGGCACTTCTTTCCACATCAACCATTTGCCATCGAGTGGACCCAGTTCATGATGACCCCGTGTGTGTCAGAAAACAGCTGTGCTCCATGTGGTTTCCAATGACTTGTTTTTCAGAAGTAGATTGCCAGGCTTTTCTTCCAAGGCACCTCTGGATGGACTCGAACCTCCTGTCTCTCAGTTAGCAGCCAAGCACATTAACCTAAATTGTAGCTTTTCTTATTAGTACCACTACTACCATCATCATCCCCACTTCCCTCCACGCACTTATCAAGAAAAAGTTATTTTTAAGTTAAATGCTATTTTATAAGGCAGGAGAAATTATAGTAAGTAATAATTAAACAAAAAAAACCTTTTCTTTCCATAAATGTTTGCAGTTTAAAAAGGGTGATGAAATAGATATTCATTCATTTATAATAGAACATTTCCATTTACAAAGTTCTGCATTTCTCAGCCAGATAATTGGGAATCATTTCTCTGATCTGCAGATTGAAAGGTATGTTCATAAATAAAGTGACTATTCTTCTGGCTTCTCCTAGCCTGCCACAGCCAGGGTCTGGTGGAGTGCAGAAATGGGCAGTGTATCCCCAGCACTTTCCAATGTGATGGAGATGAGGACTGTAAGGATGGGAGTGACGAAGAGAACTGCAGTGACAGTAAGTGTGTGCTACATCCCCTTCATGGGTGCACCTATCTCCAAAGCAAAAAGTGTGAAGTCATGTAATACTTATATATGATTCATGCACAAATAATTCCAGGTTACTGCATGCACTGGTCCTTATAGCATTGCACAAAGGACAAGGAGGCCACATATTCTGACCTCCTAGAAACCCACAAGAGGAATGCAGAATCACCATCAATAGCCCAAGGCCTATTACTGCAAGGCCAGACATGCTGCCTCCCTCCTGCCCTTTCACCAACCGTTCCTCCCAAAGAACTCATCACCTCTCTCCTGGGTTTGATAATTCACTGCAGTGGCCACACAGAACTCACAGATTATGAGGTTTATTAGGGAAGCACCAGGCTACAATTCGAGTTCAGGAAAAAATGCTCAGTCTCTCTCCCCAGCCTGCCGTCTCTCAACCAAGTCTCTCACAGTCTCTACCCCAGGAGTGCATGTCCCTCAGTGTCTCACTCAGCAATGCATGTCTCTTGTATCTCTTTCCCAGCAGCACTTGTCTCTTTCAGGAGCACGTGTCTCTTTCAGCAGCACATCTTCCTCAACCAGCAGTCAGAGAGACTTCTGCCTCTAGGAGGCCTCCTTTTGAGCTTGGCAGAGTGGCCAAACTAGCCAATCATAGCATCAGAACTCTCAGCACCCAAGACAGCACCTCCCATAACATTGTGTTGTGCCACACCCAACAGAAATAACCCAGGTGGATAACATTTACAATCAGGAGCTCCTCAGTTGCTCAATCCACCACTGAGTTTACGATGACTTATGGGTAGAAAAGCCATACTAAGTAATTTACTACACTGCAAGCATTGCTCGGTTAGAAAATTTTTCTTACAGCAGATATAATTCTTGAGCTACCTAAGCTGAAAAATCATCACTAATGGGAGAGAATAGAGATTAAACACTTAAACAGGATAGTCAAATTCAGTTAACTGTTTTACTGGGGAAGACAACACCATGACAAAGTGAAAATCTTAGTATATAGTATTTAATTAAATTAGATTAGATGACAATTAGAAGGAATTGTTTTCAGAAATTAAATGTAACAGCCTCCTAAAATAAGCATGTATACAGAAGCTCTTTAATGCCTCACATTACCAAGCAGTATACTTAAATATACTTTATAAGGAGTCTGATATCTGTGTGTGAAACTTTAAAAATAAAT